GCACCACCATCGAGGGGGAATCCCAGCATGGGTGGGCAAAATTCGGGGTCACAAGCCTCGACGAAGGCTAAGTGCAGGAATTGCAAGAGAAATCACGGGGGCAAATGTCATGATCCCCCACGGTGCTACCAATGTGGAGATACGGGGCACATAAGGCCAAATTGTCCTCAACTTGGTGGGAACCGGGCATTAGGGCCAAGCAGTGCAACCACGGTGAGTAGAAGCCGGGGTGGGGCACCAAATGCAAGCGTGGGTCACGGCGGGGCAAGTACAAGCAACGCACCCTCCGTGAACAAAGGGAGAACTCAAGCTAGAGTTTATGCGATGACAGAGGCGGACGCTCAAGCTAACTTAGATTCTGTCGCAGGTAATACATCAAATTTTGAATGTTTTTGGGCTTATATGGGTAATGGAGGCTGTAGGGGTTGAGTACGGGCCACCCTGGGATTAAACTGGGAGGTTTTGCACACACTAAAGAGAAATTTTCCATGCACGGCCGGACGCACGCGTGCGTCCCTCCGTGCGTGGGGGCAGTGAGCTTCTGAAGAGAATTTTTTTCCACGCACGGACGGACGCATGTGTGTGTCCCTCCGTGCGTGGGTGGCAGTAGCCATCTGGGGAAAAAATTGCCTACACGTACGCGTGCGTAGCTGCACACACGTCGTGCGTAGCTGCTCTGCGCACGCGTGCGTAGCTGCACTACGCACGCGTGCGTCCCTCCGTGCGTGGCACCTAGACTGCCCATCGTCAATTTTTTACACCGATTTGCGACGTTAAGACCTCTCATTGATCCCAAAAATGTGTGTGAACATAATAAACCTCCATAATTTTATAGGGATGGTAGGGAGGGTATCTTACGTGACTTATGAATGTAGGAATATAATGCTAAGGATCAGTGCCGGTCCTGACATTTTATGGGCTCGGGGCGATACATATAGAGTAGGCGTTAAGGACAACATGTGAATTTTTATATTTGTTTATAAAAACTATAATTACGTATATTTAAGCATTTTTTCATTCAAATACTAGTATAACATATCAAAGAAATTAATAAAGAACGGTTAGAGATATTATATTTAAGTATTTGATAATTGACATTCGAGAATACCATGTACCAAAATGGCTCAATGGAAAAGTAGAACGATTGTTAGTACATAATTTTGAATTGGGGAAAGACGCGAAAGTTATATCGCTTATGGAGTAAAGTTTTCATATTTTGATTCACATTTTCACTAGACCAAAACAAATTGCAAGTTTCTAAATCCTTGGTACCCTAATTTAATCTTTCACTTACACGAGAGAACAAAAAAATTAGCCAAATACTATCAATGAATCATGAGTTTACATGAGAGAGGTAGATGAAAATATTGACATTTATGCACTAACGTACACGTAATGAATCAAAAGAAAGTGTGAAATTTGTTCATAAACAATTATGGTATAGATGTTTCAAAATTTTAGAATTGTAGTTTGTAGATGTTTAATAAAAAAATGAACGTAATGAAAAAATTATAAGTTTGATTTTATTTTTAAAGTTTTATATATTAAAATACAAACACATACACACACACATATATAATAAAATTCTGGTCAGTTCGGACTGACCAGAACCGCTTTGCGGCCAAGCCAGTTTGAGGGCTTTTCGAGTTACATTTTTTGATGAAAATTTGTGAACATGTTCGTCATGAAGTGTAGCACATTCGCTCAAAAATTCAGCTTAAAATTCTATTTGAAAATCAGTTAAATAAATTGTTGAAAAACATTGTGATTTTTATGCATATGTTTGTGCAGTATTTTTGAAGAATTTATTTAACTGACTCCCAATTGAATTTTTTGATGAAGTTTTATGTGAATGTTTTACGTTTAATGAAGAACGTGCTCACAAAATTTTATTAAAAAAGTCAACCCAAAAGGCTCTCAAACGAGATTGGCCTTACGGCGGTTCTGGTCAGTTCGGATTGACAAAAATGTTCCTCATATATAAATGGAAATTTATGGGCCCTAGAGGAGCAATGGGCCCTGGGCGCATGCCCCTTTGCCCATGCCCTAGGACCGGCCCTGCTAAGGATTAATGGGAAAGATGCACGAATCCTTATCGATGACGGGACACAACGTTCATTCGTGAGGGAGACGTTCGTCGAGGGTTTGGAAATACAATCACTACCATTGACGCAAACCCTAGTGGTATCAACGCCACTAGGAGATGACGTTGAGAGGACTTGTTACTATCCATCTTGTGAGGTGGAAGTCGATGGCCAAACCTTGACGTGTGATTTCGTACCGCTGAGCATGATTGATTTTGATGTGATCCTAGGGATGGATTGGCTAGAAAAGCATCATGCTAGGGTAGATTGCTACACGAAGGTTCTAGAACTTGAAGGCAATGATGGGAATACCCTACACTTCGAGGGTGATCGAGGCAAATCAAATAGTTGCATCATATCCGCCGTGAGAGCGAGGAGTATGATGGGAAAGGGATGCCACGCATATCTAGCATACGTGGTTGACAAAACCAAGAAGGAACCGAACATCAATGATGTGAGGGTAGTTTGTAAATACCCAGATGTCTTCCCAAAAGACCTATCGGGGCTTCCACCTGACAGGGAGATCGAGTTTGTGATCGAGGTCGAGCCAGGCACCAAACCAATCTCTATACCACCATACAGAATGGCACCTACTGAACTTAATGAGTTGAAACCCCAATTGCAAGAGCTATTGGATAACGGATTCATTAGACCGAGCTATTCATCGTGGGGAGCACCGGTTCTTTTTGTGAAAAAGAAAGACGGGACCCTACGAATGTGTATTGACTATCGCCAACTGAACAAGGTCACAATCAAGAATAAGTATCATTTACCTAGGATTGATGACTTGTTTGATCAGCTTCGAGGAGCAACAGTGTTTTGGAAGATTGACTTGAGGTCGAGGTACCATCAATTGAGGATTAAGGAGGATGACATACCGAAGAGTGCTTTTCGCACAAGGTATGGTCACTTCGAATTCCTAGTCATGTCGTTTGGGCTAACCAACGCCCCGGCGGCATTGGTTTTAGGGTTTAGGGTTTAGGGTTTAGGGTTTAGGGTTTAGGGTATGGTTTTTTGGGCTTCGGTATTGTTTTTTTGGGCTTGGGTAAGGTTTGTTTGGGTAATTGGAAAATCATTTTATTTTTCTATAATCTTATAAGTTTATCGTTTCACCTATTTATTTTCTGATAGTTTGCATTTTGTGGGCCATGAAGAAGAAGGTTATTTTCTATAGTGATAAAGATTTTTCAAGGATGTTCCTTCTTTCACATGGTGCAAAAGTTGCTAATGCATATAGTTGAAGTGAAAAAGTAATGGTTACCAAGAAAGATACGTTTTGTGGTTTCCTATTCTTTTTAATGTTTGTTTTATTTAAGTGCTCTTGTTGCAACCATTAGTTTGTTTTACTTTTTAATTTCCTTATAATACTTTTGATGGATAAATAATTGGGATGTTTTTTTTTGCCAATATTTTTGTTTTTGTGTAAAACAGCTCTAGGTTGGTTGATCTTCGGCATATATGATTGGTAAGAAGGTTGGGAATGGAGGACTTGGTCAGATGAATTTTGGTCGTCGAACTAATATAATTCTCCAAATCCAACTGAAGGGACTGATCCACGAGCTATAGAGGTAATATTTTACAATAATATTTGCTTCCCCGATTCAATAATATTTGCTTCCCTAAAATTTGAGTACATAAGTAACAAAGGCTGTAACTATGGATCACCTTATAAGTGGCAAGTCTACAAATAATTATGAATAATCATTTTTGGTTGTTGGTAATACTATAGCGCTGAAATCAACATCCACTGGGGTGTTTCAGTGCCCTTGGTGGTAGTCATGATATATCTCGTATTCATTATAAAGGCCGTCAAGGTGTTTGCTACATTCTCGTATGTAAAATATCTCAGCATGCACACAGTTAATATTAGTTTCAATTTTTAGCATTTGAGCATCGCATGTGTTGTAATGTGATTTCTGGTAATGGATATGTTTGGTCCCAATTTTAGGATGTTTGGAGCAGCAATTTCCACACGAAAGTTCCCTTCTCAAGGGAAACCCGAACAGTTTGCTTTAATCAGGAAGTCAATTGAAATGGTGGCTTGTGTTCCCATTGAAGCAAACTAAATACTAGAGAAGTTGCACTCTCAAGGGTATGTTTTCATTCATCACTTAGAATTGCTCTCATCTTCTATGTTTCTCAAACTCTATTTTTTATACCATGCTAATATATCGGTATATGTTGCTTAGTAAAATTTGACACGTGACTTGCTTATGCTTCTATTAGACTTTTTTAAATGACTCTTGTATAACTATAAATAAATTATTTGTAGTTGTTAACAATATTCATTATAAGTGGAGTTTAAAGAAACAATATAGCAATAATCTTTTTCATTTGCACTCAAAAAATGAATATTGGTCCTTCATATTTAAAACAACCTCCGGAAGATGCACTTTTCACCAAGTTTGCAAGGTATTATTATTATTATTTTCCTGTTGGCTTTTATGTGGGTCAATAAGTAAGATTACTCACCGGCAAGGTGGACTAGAAATAACCTTAAGTTAGTTACTTTACTCCATCCTTATTCAGCACACCAAGTCAACAATCCCTTACATAAAGACCACTTAATCTAGAATGACATCTCAAAAGAAACAGGCCTTGATGGGAAATTAAGTAAAAAGTCCAGGGTCCTTGTGAAATAGTAGCCTTGTCTGAATGGCATGGCTTTTGTTTTTACAGCCATCACAATAATATTTGTGGGAATAGCTCTCTACGGCAATGACTTGTTCTTGTACTTGGCGTGCATTGACCATTTGTCTTTCGTTTGCAGTTCGCTTAATATTAGCTATCCCGTCGTTATAACAGTTGATCGTAACAAGATACCAGTTTTGTAATTTCTATGCCTTATAAGTAGCTATATACTAATAAACAATATTCATAGAAATTAATGAATTTATAATGTATTCTCCTAAGTGGGTTCACTCTGGCGGTGGTGCCTCATCCCATGGGTTCACTCTATTTTCTTCGCTTTCTTAAGTGGGTCAAATCGCCTCCTCCTATGGGAGGCGGTGGGGTCCCACTTGGTGTGGAAAGCACATCAAAGCAATCATGAATATCAGCCCAACATTCCTCGGCGTTCCAAGGGCATTTAGCAACTTGTTATCAGCTGAAGTGAAATTCATTTCACTTCTCAGGTCAGTCCATTCATTTCCTTACCATTTCGAAGGGCTATGATTTATCTATCTCACTTATTTGTTCCTAATCTATTTGATGAGACGTTTCAGTTTCAAACCATGAAACAAACCTTGAGGGTTTGCCGAACATGGGATTCGCTAATTTCTTTCAACTTATATCCTCTTTATTGCTTGGTTTATCCAGATTTATCACTAATTTTTTACACTTGTGGCAGGTTCTCCCAACGTCTAATATCTCCTTTTTACATGGTGGACATGTTGTCCTTTGGAAACACTGAATGCAATGGTTCCTGAATATGTATGAACAGCAGGGGTACTGAGGACAATTGATCCACACCTAACTATAAATAGCATCTAGGTTTGTATTCAACTCAACCTTTAACTTATGAAAGAAACTGCTCCAAATGCTAAAAAATTGAATTGATTGCGATACTTTCTTTTGAATGCTTATCTAGGAAACGGTGGCAATTCAAGCTATGTTTTTGTTGTTTGCATTTCCCCTCCACATTTATGACCACTTATATTATTCATGGTTTGACTTTTATTTTGATCTTTTTGCCTTGTTTATTCATGTTCTTGTTTTATTATTGCTACTTTATTTGAAGTATTCACAGGTCTACTATTTTATTCCTAGAAGCATTTTGAAGACAATCGAGCAGTCAATGTGGAGGACCTTGCAATACTTACTACACCAGGTGAGTGGTTCTCTTTCATGTGTTTTAAGTATGATGATTATATTGTGTTTTCTGAAATTGTAGGATATTAATGAGGAGGTGGTTTAACTCTTGAAAAATCTACACTTAATATACTTGGAATTGAAAAATAGGTTTCTCTATTTACTTTCTCAGTATACATTTTGATTTGTCATTTTGAACCCTTTTTAGGACACTAAATAATATATATTTGATCATATGGAGGTGGTGACAAAATGTGACATGAATCTAATCAAAGATACCCTATATGTCGTCTCTTTCCTCTCTTCATAACTTGTGTTTTGTGCATCAGGTTCTATAACTCAACAGTTTAAATCATATTCAGTTTTTATGTTGTCAATTTGTTGCATTATTATATCTCTTAGGATAAGTTTGTTTAAAACAACATACTCGCTATGTCCTATTAAAAGACTCTTGTTTAAAAAAACTGTTTTTGGTCCCATAGAAATAGTCTCACTTAAGAATGACAATTGGTAATTGTTGCACCTTTGAACACAGGTATGGGCTGTCGTAAGAGTTGTGTCATGTTTGATTAGGAGAAAGCACATGAGTGGTTGGCTAATTGTATGTCATGATTGATGCCCTCATCCACATATCTTTTATATCATATGATTGACTCTCGGCGAAATGGTACCAATTTTATGAACGCAATGATCAAGGATCTAATCTTGAGGTCATTTATATATCTTATTGTTTTATTTTTGAGAAATATCACATTAGAGTTTTATGATAAGCATAGTACTATAAGCCCGTTGAAATAATACCCGTGAGTTTCTATCCACTTTATTAATTTTGTGTTCTTCACATTGATCATATTTTTTCATTGGGCATTGACCCTCGCGCAAAGCGCGCGCTGATGCTAGTATGTGTGTGTGTGTGTGTGTGTTAATTAGTGATGTTTAGATATTGGATGATATATAAGATGGAAATACAATAAATTGTACACATTATATGTGATATCCAATTATTTTACTTATTAATTATTGTAGATCAATAATTGTAGTCGGAGAATTTTAATTTTGAAATAGTAGTGTTGTTGTTTAGTTAGGTGTTTTTTTTGTATTACAAATTGTATTATAAGTAATGTTGTTTAATTAGATTTATAACTTGTATTATAAATAGTGTTGTTTAATTAAATTTTTGTAATTAGGTACGGAGTGTTAGAAATTGTATTATAATAGTGTTGTTTAATTACAATTGATGGAGTATATGGGTCTGAGCCCCAGGACCCACATACTCAGAAGAACAGAAAGCACAAGACACTAAGTGGTGCCCTCGTCGGCCAAGGGACCCCCGTCGGCCGGAAAGGTACCAACTCAGAATATGGTGTTGAAGCCAAGGAACCCGTGTGCCCTCGTCGGCCGTGCCCTCGTCGGCCACGCCCTCGTCGGCCACGAAGACCTCACAGAACCGGACTTTACACTTACTCATTTGTACAGCCCATTAGTGGCTTTGTATTCGGCCCAGTAGCGGTCCAGTTGTAAATGGGCCTCCCAAGCCCAAGGCTTGGGAGCCCAGCCCGTATTTTCCCTATAAATACTTCCTCTGGAGGTAGTTATCCGGGTTACAAAATCATTCTATTGAAGCATATTATTGCACTTCTCTCTCTAGCTCTCACTTCTCTCTAGATATACTCTATCATTTGGTGCTCTCGTTGAGAGCTAGAACAATCAAGTTAGCACCCTTCGTCGCTACCGAGCACAGCTAACCACTGATCATGGGAAGAACTAAATCAAACCGCAACCTCATCAGCAAGGCCATCCCTGAGGACCAAGAGGCCAGGGAACACGAGGAGGATGCCACGGCCGACCAGGTCGGCAGAGGGGACGTCTTCCTGGAGGCCATCAACCTCACGACGAACCTCCGCAACCAACTCAACGGCGGAGCCCCTGATGCCCGCATCGGCTTGGACAAGAAACGAGTTGAGAAGACATACCACGCCACGGCCCAGCCTATGGTCGCAGCCTCTCCGTCTGTGGATCCACAGGTCCTGGCCGCGCTGTCGGTCATCATCGCCAGCTTGGCCCAGAACCCCACCGTCCTCAGCGCGCTCTTGCCAAGGACCGGGGGGAACGTCACTCCACCTCCTCAGCCCCGACCGTTGGCCGTCCAGATAGGCAACGATGAGGGGGTGATGGCCCAGGACACGGCGTCGTCCCACTCCCACCCCGCTTCCCCTCTTCGGCCTGGGCAGACCCCAGCGCGTGGAAAAGCCTCTACCTTCAATAGGCTGGGTGACACGCGCCGTCGTCCGGTTTCGGAGAGGATGGCAGGACGGATTGGTGAGCGTCGGTCTGGCTCGCCAAGGGAAAGCTTGGGGTCTGTGTCCCGGACAGCGGACCAGCCCCGCCCAGACAAGGGCAAGGGGAAGCTGCACGAGGACGACGTGCGTCACCAGATCAATGCTGCCCACGACGAGCGCATGAGAAACCAGCAGGGCACCGCTGCGGCCGCCAGGGACCCCCGGGACGAGGTCATCGACCAGCTGGAAAGGAGGCTGGCTCAGATGGAGGCCAGGCAATCGGCCAACAACCCCACGGCTGGCGCCTCCAACGACCCCGGCCTCGACACCCTCATGAACAAGGTCAGCGCCCTGGAGAGGGAGTTGGCCGAAGGGCGAGGTGACCCCATCATACAGGTCAGGACCAGGACCCCTTTCACCAACAGGGTGCTCTCGGCCCCCATCCCGGAAAAGTACAAGGGGAACGCCATCAGGTCTTACGATGGCCGATCAGACCCCCAGGAGCACTTCAGCCGCTATCAGAACAACATGTTGATGGTGAACGCGTCGGATGAATATCTCTGCCGTTGGTTCCTATCTACTCTTGAGGGGCCAGCGTACGAGTGGTTCAACGCGCTCCCCGAGGGGAGCATTGACTCATGGCAAGACCTTGCCCAACGCTTCCTCACCCACTTTGCCGGGAGGAAGCGTGCGAAGAAGTATTTCACCCACCTCCTCTCCGTCAAGCAGCAACACGATGAGTCCCTCCGGTCGTTCATTGATCGGTGGACGAGGGAGACCGAAGAAGTCGAGGGGGGCGATGAGCGCACCCTCCTCGCCCTGTACCAAGGAGCCCTCCGCAGCTCCCCGTACGCAAGGAGCCTCATCACCGACCCTCCAAGGTCGTACGCCAAAGCGCTCCAGCGTGGAAGCTTGTACGCCGACGCCGACGAGCTCCACAATCACAAGAAAGAGGGAGGCCATCCCTCCAAGAAGACAAATCCTTCGCCGGCCCCGGGTCCGTCCCCGGCCGGCCAGGGTGCCCAGGGCCGTCACGGCTCTGGTGGACAAAGTAAGAAAGATCGCCACTGGCGGCCGAGGTTAGAACGGCCGGGAGTTGCCCTCACTCACCCGGTCGGCACCATCCTCGACTATGCCGAGAAGCACGGCCTCATCGAGCAGGCTCCTCGGCCGAATGAGGAGGTCCTTGCCATCCAGCAGGGCGGCACATACTGCCGGTTCCACAAGAACTCCTCGCACAACACCGACGACTGCATCACGCTGAAGAAGGCCATCGAGCGTCTTATTCGTCAGGGGGAACTCTCCCAGTTTGTTAAAGGTGGCCCACACAAGAATACATGGGTAAACACCGGCAAACAGGGGGGCGGACCCTCTACGAAGAAGCGGGAGATTGGCAGGCTCAGCGACGACGAGGACTTCGAAGAGCCCCCGCCAAAGAAGAATCACATTCACCTCATTGTGGGTGGGAACATTGGGGGGGACTCCGTCACCCAGAGAAAGAAATGGGCCCAATCCCTCTACATTGGGGAGGTGTCCCACGTTCCCCCCCAGCCGAAGAAGCAGCGAACGGAGGCGATCACTTTCACCGACAAGGATTGGCCTCCGGGTACAGAATCACATAGGGACGCCCTCTTCATCCGGTGTGAGATCAGTGACACCATCATCCACCGCACTTACATCGATACGGGGAGCTCCGTCAACGTGATGTACCTGGACACCTTCAGGCAGCTGAAGCTGGACAGAGCTCTGCTGAAGCCGATCAAGACACTGTTATCCGGCTTCACCAGGGACTCTATCGACGCCGAGGGCACGATAGTCCTCCCCGTGGAGGTCGGTGACGGCCCCCACCGCGCCAAAATTGACATGGAGTTCATGGTGGTCCACCTCCAGTGCGCCCACAACCTGATCTTAGGGCGGCCAGCACTGGAGGACTTAGAGGCCATCATCTCCATGAAGCCTTTGTGTCTGAAGTTCCCCACCAATGACGGCATCGGCTACGCCAGAGGAAACCAGAGGATAGCCAGAGCATGCTACCTCAAACTGACGAGGCCGGCCGAGAGGGAAGGTCAGAGGATAGACACCATCACGGCAGCCGTTGCCAAAGACGAGGAGAGGCCGCATGCTGAGCCGGCCGAGGAGGTTGAGGAAGTCCCTCTGGATACCTCCCGGCCGGAGCGGGTTCTCAGAGTCGGGAAGCAACTCCCGCAGGACCAGCGGGACGCCATCCTCCTCGTCCTACGCTCGTACGCCATTGTCTTCGCGTGGGGCCCGGACGATATGCCAGGCATCAGCCGCCAGGTGATCACTCACCGGCTGACCGTCGATCCGGCCTCCGCGCCTGTCAAGCAGAAGCGGCGCTACTTATCCGCCGACAGGCGGGACTTTGTCAAAGGGGAGGTCGTCATGCTCCTCTCAATCAACCACATTAAAGAGGTGAAGTACCCGACGTGGCTGGCCAACGTCGTCCTCGCCCAGAAACCGCCAACATTCAGAATGTGTGTTGATTACACTGACCTGAACAAGGTGTGCCCCATGGACCCGTTCCCTCTCCCCAACATTGATCAGCTGGTGGACGAGACGGCGGGGTGCGAGTTGATGTCGTTCCTTGACGCTTTCAGAGGGTACCACCAAATCTCCATGCATGAAGATGACGCTGAGAAGACGACATTCATGACCCCAGAGGGAATCTTTTGCTACCTCGTCATGGCCTTCAGACTCAAAAACTCCGGCGCCACCTATACTAGGATGGTGGCCAAGATCTTCAGAGCGGTCCTTGGCCGGACGATGGAGGCATACGTCGACGACATGATCGTCAAGAGCAGGCAGGCCTCCTCCCACGCCGACGACCTCCGGGAAATCTTTGAAATCATGAAGGAGTTCAGGCTCCGCCTCAACCCCAAGAAGTGCGCCTTCGGCGTCCAGGGCGGCAAGTTCCTCGGCTACATGGTCAGCCGGAGAGGCATCGAGATAAACCCGGAGAAGACATAGGCTATCATCAACATGGAGCCACCCCGCAACGTCAAGGAAGTACAGCGACTGACGGGGCGCCTGGCGGCCCTGAACCGTTTCCTCTCCAGGTCAGCCGAAAGGGCACTCCCCTTCTTCCAGATCATGCGTAAAGCCAACAGCTTCAAGTGGACGACGGAGTGCCAGGAAGCGTTCGAAGAGATGAAGAGGTACCTATCGTCCCCACCCGTGCTCTCCAAGCCCAAAGCCGGCGAAACCCTCTTCTTATACTTAGGGGTGAGCACGTCGGCCATCAGCTCCGTGCTCATCCGTGAGGACGAAGGGGTGCAGAAGGCCATCTTCTACATCAGCAAGACACTCAGGGAAGCCGAGCTCAGGTACTCCCCCATTGAGAAGACGGTGTTGGCCATCGTCCATACGGTGAAGAAGCTGGGGCACTACTTCCAGACCCATATACTCAAGCAACTCCTTCACCCCTCACACTCTTCGGCCTGAAGCAGTGGGGGACTGGGGGACTACATCGGCCTCAATAATACAGACAAAGGAAAAATGCACACAAATGTAACCACAAAGCATGGCCACATCGTCCATGTATCACAACGGTGCCAAGGTTGTCGTGACTCCATTTCCGGCCAGGTACTTTGGACAACACGGCGCCTCGTCGGCCAAAGGCACATAACATCATCAACAACGGCCAACAAGCCACCTAAGGCAAGGACATTCATCGTCCTCCGCCAACAGTTAATCATAATGGGCTCTTCGGCCAAGAACACGAAAGCCAATCAGCGACGGCCAAAAGGAGTGCGCAAGCACCCTCATCGGCCACCCATTGGAAAGGACGCCCATCGTCCTCGAAGCAAGGTTCAACCTCAACGGCCTCATCAGCCCAAATGTAAATCTCAACCATCAATGACCAAGAAAGGGAAAACGCGCCTTCAACGGCCACCATCGAAGCAGGACACTCATCGTCCCCAAACGAACACACCAAGGAAACAACGGCCTCCCCGTCCACAGCGAGGAGCAGGTAACGACCAAGCACAGAACAAGATCACCAAAATGGAAACAGCGCCAACGCCGCAACAGCTAACGGCCTGGGAGTGCCCGCATCGGCCAAAAGCACCAAAGCACGGGAATCTACTCTCCTTCACTTCGTCTACGTCTCAGCTTAGAGAGTGGGGGACTCCTGATGGAGTATATGGGTCTGAGCCCCAGGACCCACATACTCAGAAGAACAGAAAGCACAAGACACTGAGTGGTGCCCTCGTCGGCCAAGGGACCCCAATCGGTCGGAAAGGTACCAACTCAGAATATGGTCCTGAAGCCAAGGAACCCGTGTGCCCTCGTCGGCCGCGCCCTCGTCGACCGTGCCCTCGTCAGCCACGCCCTCGTCGGCCACGAAGACCTCACAGAATCGGACTTTACACTTACTCATTTGTACAGCCCATTAGTGGCTTTGTATTCGGCCCAGTAGCGGTCCAGTTGTAAATGGGCCTCCCAAGCCCAAGGCTTGGGAGCCCAGCCCGTATTTTCCCTATAAATACTTCCTCTGGAGGTAGTTATCCGGGTTACAAAATCATTCTATTGAAGCATATTATTGCACTTCTCTCTCTAGCTCTCACTTCTCTCTAGATATACTCTATCAACAATTATAATTCGTATTACACATATGAGTGTTGAATAGAAATTAATTTAATATAGTATTAGGTTTTCATGGCTACACAAAGAGAACACTCTCACCCCGGGCCCATAAAATGTTTTGTATTGGTGATGAAACCCGGAGAACATCGTGCCGATCATGTGTGGAAAACTGAAGCGTTGAGAGACTTCAAAGTGAGGTGCATTACTTTCTCCAAATCTGCCTACGATGATGGCGAACGTCATCCTAGAGTCGTACAACTGTTGAGGGCATCAAGCTTTCACGGACCTGAACGATTAGGAAAAATCAATATTGATTGAGGTCTTATCACCGCATTGGTTGAGAGGTGGAGACCAGAAACACATGATTTCCATTTACCTTTTAGCGAGATAGGCCTTACATTGCAAGATGTACACGTGTTGATCGGGTTAACAACATTAGAATGCTAGCAATTAAGCGCTTTTCGTTATCACCGTGGAGCACAGAAATTGACATTAGAATGCTCGGTGGGTTGTTGATCGCTAGCACTAGCGGTAGAGCGTCGTTGTACTTTCTTGAGTGTTGCAAGACAACTTAGAGATTATGACTAGTTGGAGTTGGGGCTCGATTGTGTTGGCATATTTGTACCACAACTTATGTGAACCGGCGAATGCGGACAAAGTTTCGGTGGGAGCATGTTTAGTCCTTCTACAACTCTGGGCATGGGAGAGGTTGTCGATGGTTTGACCCCAAGGGGTTCTTCCACTGGATCACTTATTCGATTTGCCTTATGGTACTAGGTAAACTTCACTGACATCGGAAATTTACATTATACTCTCTTATGGTTTTTATGATTTGTCTTATAAGTCGTTAAATATAGGTGGGCTTGTCGGCATATCAGGTCGAAGACTAGCAGATTGACTGCACTCATTTATAGGGACCAATTTGACCGATTAAGGAAGTGAGAGGTAAAATTTAAATTTATTTGATGAACTATTTATATATATATATTTTTACTAATATGGAACACTTTTTGCACAGTTTGAATGGACCCCTTACCCGCTTATGAGACTTCCACCAGTTTTGCACTGATGCATATAAACTGTGGTCAACTAGAGTTCAACATATTTATTGTTCATATTTTGAGGCATACTATCCTGGAAGATTTTATCGTCAATTCGGTGCAGTCCGGGATATACCAGATTTGGTGATTCATAACGACCACAGAACAGTGCTTACTTTATTACAGAATGGGAGGACCGATGGCAAAAATTATATGTGTTTGACTCGAGTAGAGTGATATCCACTGATGAGTACCGTCATTGGTTCCATTACATGGGCAAGATACACATTAACAATCTCTCACAAGACCGTCCTAGAACCGGATTTGTTCCAGCTCATCCCGAATCAGCTATCCCAGTTAGTATTTAAGAGTGTTTAGTATTCTCAAATAATGTAATAATTCACAGTATTAATTGTATAAATTATATTGTAGACTAAATTTTTGGGGGAGGTTGCTCGGGAAATGCGTGACAGAGGTGACCCTCGAGATTATCCGATGTTGGAGCGAATCAGGATTTGCCTAAGGCGAATAGGTGCAGAAGAAGTGATGGATCACGACATAATCACATTTGGAAATGTTGATGAAGGACACGCATCACGCGATAGCCATGGCCAACCGAGCACACCCAGATATGGGTTACATGATGACGATACATATCATGATACACCCATGGAGCCCCCCCGTCCACGGTTGGTAGTACCTGTCACACACATGAAGTTCCCGAACATCAGCAGTGGGCTGATTTTAATTGGACTGATTTATTTGGCAATGATCACTTCAGTGGAGCAACCGACGGTGCAGGGCCGAGCTCACAAAATTAGAGTAATAATATATTTTTGAAGCAACAATATTAGTTTGATAATATCCCTATGTCATTTACTCTAATTATTTCAACCACCCACAACTACTCTATTAATCTGAATTACCACATCAACTCATCTACTTTATTTACTTCACCTCCACAACTACTCTATTTATCTTAACTACCACATCCACCTCACCTAACTATACTACTATAAATAGGGAGCTCCACCACACTCATTTTCACCACTCTCAAACAAACTTCTTTCTCTCTACTATTATTTCTACAAAGTATTAATATAACATATCTAGTGAGGGTAGCATAGTTGTTCTTGTGCATTGGTCATTGGAATGAGGTGTTGACTGAAATTAATAATGAAGTCAATTACTCTACAAATCCAAATGTTGCACTTTTTTTTAGTGATCATACTACATATGCAACACTATGTGAGCGCATTATGCAAGAAATGTCTCGCGAAGGTTTATATGATATGAGAACCATTCATGGAAAATTTCCCACATATAATTCCGAGGGAATATGTGTTGCCTCCATGTCGTGGCCTATCCATGACGACCAGTCATGGATCTATTTTCTACAATTTGCTCACAATCAATACGAATGATTGGAGATATACATCAATGCCGAAAAGATGCAAATGGTTGATCCATCTCAACAAAGCACTTCTAGGTGTCCTCCCAACCAAGGCACTTCCCAGTTAATGATTGACATCAATGTCCACCATGATGCTTCAGATAGTGATGGTGATCCAGATTATAACGCTCTTTCCTCTTCTGAACACAAAAGCAGTTCCAAAGACAGTGATGATAACCCAAACAAGGACGAGGACGAGGAGGAGTTATTTGAACCCACATATCTTGAAGAGTTGAAGGAAGATGTGTCCCTTCAAAACCTCAAAGAATTCCGAACATTTCCTAGTGAGACGAAACACATAAATTATTGGCGAGCAAAATATGTATATGATGACGCTTGTGCGTGGCATATTCAAGCATCACAAATCAAACACACCACACTGTGGAAAGTCGAGCAGTATCAACCGCAACACGATTGCATTCACGATAAACTTCTCACAAGTAAGTTAATTGCCTCTGAAACAGGGTCAAGGATTTCAGTTAAGCCCGATTATAGTGTAAAGCTTATCATGCATGACATAGAACGCAAGTTCAACATCCATGTAGGTTACAGGAAAGCATGGTATGCTCGAATCTTGGCATCAGAGAAAAGATTTGGTAATTGGGAGGTAGCGTACAACGATCTCCCAAAACTTCTACAAGGTATGACGTTTAGTAATCCAGGCACCATTGTCGACCTACGAACAGATCAAATCGTTACACAAGGTACGCATGAATTTAAGTACGCATTTTGGTCAATCAAAGCAGCAATTGACGGTTTTAATCGTTGTCTTCCGGTCATTTCCATTAGGGTCGTAAATGAATCAAATAATTTGTGCTTGATTCACGATTCGAATTCGTATAAGACAATTCGAATTCGGAAAATTCAAATACAAATACAAATAAGAATATTAAATTTGATTCAAGTTGTTATAAAATACAAATATGAATATCAGTGTATTCGATTCGAATATTAATCAAATAATTCGATTAATAATAGTGGTCATATTAATAATAATATTAATAACAATAGTAATAACACTACAATAATTTTTAAAAGATAGCAATACCCTCAAAGTTTAGCTCATATATATATATATATATATATATATATATATATATATATGCATACAGATTCCAAGCTCATTTGTAATACATCGGAATATAAATACTAATACAAATCAGATTTTTGGTTCAAATGTCTTTCAAATACAATACACATAATTATGTATTCAATTGGAAGAATAAAATTAGAGTCATTCGAATTTGATATATACAATTATCAACTTATTTCACACATTATAAGTATAATTTCTAATATGTGTGTTAGGGCTACGAACAGATCAAATTATTACACAAGGTATGCATGAATTTAAGTACGCATTTTGGTCAATCAAAGCAGCAATTGATGGTTTCAATCACTGTCTTCCGGTCATTTCCATTAGAGCCATAAACGAATCAAATAATTTGTGCTTGATTCGCGATTCGAATTCGTATAAGACAATTCGAATTCGGAAAATTCAAATACAAATAAGAATATTAAATTTGATTCGAGTTGTTATGAAATACAAATATGAATATCAGTGTATTCGATTCGAATACTAATCAAATAATTCGATTAATAATAGTGGTCATATTAATAATAATATTAATAACAATAGTAATAACACTATAATAATTTTTAAAAGATAACAATACCCTCAAAGTTTAGCCCATATATATTAATGCATACAGATTCCAAGCCCATTTGTAATAAATCGGAATATAAATACTAATACAAATCAGATTTTCGGTTCAAATGTCTTTCAAATATAATACACATAATTATGTATTCAATTGGAAGAATAAAATTAGAGTCATTCGAATTTGATATATACAATTATCAACTTATTTCACACGTTATAAGTATAATTTCTAATATGTGTGTTAGGCTTTATTTCAAAAGGTTTGAAATAGCTTTATATTTAACTAAATTACGTTTATAGTTAAATATATTGTTAATAAATTAACAACCTCACTAATTTAATAAATTTAATTATTTAAAATGAAAAAATTAATACTTATTAAAAAAATACATAATTCAAATGACATACCTTATCTGCATGCATAAACAGGAAAAATGATAAACTGATAGATTACATCCTTGAACATTTAGCCATGATATTTATATATAGAGTTTCTTTGAAAATATTACTTAAATTAAATTTGTAAACACATGTGTGACCAAACCACTATAAGTACAATATCATGAACACTTTGTTAAGTTAAATATAATCATAATACTATAGTTTTACAACATTCATACTTTTTATTTTTAATAATGATTTTTTTTATACTTTTTGAATAACTAATATTGAAAACATATTTTATCTGTGCATCGCACGGGTGAAATACTAGTAATAATAATACAGAATACTAATCTGAATTCATGTGCTTTAATTTTATGGAAATTATAGTCCAATTATTTTGTTTATAATTTATATCTATCAACTACCAAATTCAATAGCTTGATCATCAAAATATTAAAATTATGAGCTAAATAATATTTTTATGATGATGTTATATTAATTTTCAAAGGTGAAAAAAGTGAGTTTGAATGGTCTACGTTCAAACAAAATTAAGATCTAACGATTCAAACCAATAGTTGATTCTAGCGAACAAAAGAGTGATCATGAATTTCATTCCTGCTTATTTTTTATAAAATGATTGTTACTTTTGTGATTAAAGTAAATTGTTTTCGGCTAACAAATGAAAAAAGATTTATATGATACCGGTTAACCTGAGTTTTAAAACATTCTTAATAGCATTTCCATTCATGATCTTTAAATAAACGGTTTCCCTGAGTTATATCCCATTTATTTAATAAATTTTAAAATAATCTCAAAGCTATCACCCTGCGTTTTTAAAACTGCACAAACTCCATCACTTTTACTTATTGTTTCATTCATTGTGCTAAAATTTGTGCAATAAAATTTATTCTAAGATATCACCCCGAGTTAATAGTGTGCACAGTAAAAAATTATGATTTTAAATTGCACAAATTAATAGATTTAATTTTTTTTTATTTTTATATATACAATATTGATGTCATATGAAAGATGGTAAAATACTATGAATTTTGATATATTTTTGGGAGAACTACCAAATAAGCCCTCAAACATTCATAAAAAGTGCACATAAGCCCTTTTATAGGAGACTCTGTCCGGCCGTCGCCATTTGGGGCGGTTTCCGGTGGAATTTTTTGATGATTTTTTTTTAGAATCTTCTTTATTAAGTCTAGTTTAGTCATACCAGATTTAAGCTAAAACCTCAATCGGCAACACAGTCAAATGAATTTTTGAAGATAAATGTGCAGTTAGGCAGCGCAATATATTTCAGATAATCATTTGACTGCATTCTCGATTGAATTTTCAGCTTAAATTTAGTATGGATAAAATAGACTTAATGAAGAAGTTGCTAAAAGAATTGCATCAAAAAATTCTACCGGAAACCGGCCTAAATGGCGACAGCCGGACAAAGCTTCCTGTAAAAGGGCTTATTTGCATTTTTTATGAAAGTTCGAGGGCTTATTTGATAGTTCTCCCTATATTTTTTCTAACAATCGAAGTACACATAAAAAGTTATAGTGCTTTAAAAAAGTATAAATTCCACTTTTGATCCTACGAGTATCGCACTGATTCCACAATTAGTGCACCTCTTTGACTATGACCACTTTGGTACATGACTATTGTGTTTTCGGTCATATATGAGTTTTCCATCAATATTTCTAGTGGTTAAAATCCTAGAAAAAGACCACAAATGGTCAAGAAAAAATTTGTCAATAACTAAATTGGACTTGATATAAAACTCATAGAACCAAAATTGGAATTAATTTCTTTAAAAAATACATGTTTTTTAATGTGTTACATTCTTTTTTTTAATATTCAATATTGGTATCATATGAAAGAAAAAAAGTTATAAATCTTGATATATGAGTGTGTGTGTGTGAGTGTGTGTGTGTGTGTGTTGTAACAATGAGAGTACAAAATAAAAAGTTATAGCACTTTAAAACAAACATAAGATTTTATTTTGGTGGAGGCCCTCACTAATTTTCTGCTCTTTGTCTAGCATTGTTACGTCGTTTCCCCCCCCCCCCCCCCCCCCCCCCCACAAGCCACCAACTCAAGTGACTTTTATCTTAATTGGGTTTACCGCATGAGTATTTTAAGAAATACTTTTAACTTGACCCTATTTTGATAAAAAAAAATAGCATTACTTTGAAAAGAACTCATTGACCAAGCCCAATCTTAAAATAAGTTCAAAAGAACATTCACTCTTATGTGTTTTTATTTCATTTATGAAAATTAGTTAACTAATTAATTATTGAGAAAAATATGAATTTAATTAATTTATAGAACCAAAATTTCCTTTATACATCTGATTGAATTTATAAAATATCTAAAAGTTCATTTAGTGACTTCTGTTTTCAGCTCATCAATCTTAGGCTTTTAGCAGTCCAATTTTCATCAGACACATAACTTTTGACTTAATAATCAAAATAAGTAAGGTTGTAATTACTTTTATTACCGAATTAGCTAAAATCACTAGAAATGATCATTCTAGCTATTTTCATATAATTTTTTCATGACTTTATTAACAAATAAAAGTATATTTTAAA